AAAAAAAAAGATTCTGTAATTGTAGCTGCAATTACAAGCGCCCTAAACTCCTGTTTAGAGATGTTCTCATGAATATATGCACTTTATGTATTAATGCTTATTTAGTATTTATTTACCATGTAATTTATATATAGTATATGCAGCAATAATTTTTGTGTTGTATCTTACTGACTCGGGAATCTGAATTAAAAGTACTATGTAGTAGCCTGAAGAAAAACTGGATATGGTGGTTACATTCCAAGTGAGTTTTTGAGAGGTAGGAGTGGCTATACTAAAAATTGCATTGAGAGCTGAACTTACTTTTTAGTAAAACTTTGGAAGTGATTTCTTTTCAAGAAAATGTGGAATAGCAGAAAGAACACCAACTTTTGGAATAGATTGATCAAAATTTGAATTCTAGCAATGGAATTCCAGGCAAATTATTTAATCTTTTCAAACCTGTGTTCTTAAAATAGGGATAATCACTTCAACTTCATAGTATTTGGTGATGAATACATGAGATAACAAACAACCAAGGCACTTATTTTATATAGTGCTTGTGCACTGTAGTCATTCGGTAAGTATTCCATTCATGGTGAGATTTTAATCCTTGGGCAGATCTGCTCTGAAACGGTACCTCAGAATGATTCTCAACATCCTTGAATATACTTAACATTTGTAAGAAAAAAGAAAATGATTAGGCGAGACCTGGACATAACAGATGCCAATTAGTTATGTCAGGTATTAATGAGGGTACTTAGTAAAGCTGTCAATTCCGGTTATTCAGAAGAATTTAATGCTATAATTTAGGATTTGCAGAAGAACATATTTTATTATTTATAGTCTGGTTAAAACGTACCTCTGAGAAATAGGTTTTAGAAAGCTGAACAATATAGGTTGCTTTCACTTTATCTTTAATTCAAGGAAGGGGTACTTTTTGTTTCCTTCTGCATTTTAATGTAATTAGAAGTTTTGGTTTCCCATTTATGTATTCAGATATATTAATCATTTTGTTTGTGTACACATTTATCTGATAATTAGACTTTTAACAACCTCAATCACATGTAACCATATATTTCGAAGAAAATAGCTAAAAATGTTTATAATCGTATATGAAGTGAGGAGTGGGGATTTAACAAGTGTATCTCTGCATTCTTCCTAGTGATGATTCACAGGGTTAGACTCCAGTGAGGGGCGTGTAGGACAGCTAGAAACTTTTACTTAAAAACAACTGTTTTGAGGAAGAAGTCTCATTCCAGTTTATCTTATTAATTTAATTAGGTTAATTAGTTTAATTGGATTGCATGTGCCCTGCATAAAACTCAGTGTAAAAAACAAAAGTAATATATTTGAAGCAAAGAGGGAAAATGTTCTTTTACTTCTGATCTCCTGTTGCTACCAGTTTTCTGCCAGACCTGTTTTCCTAATGGTAGGCATCATTAACACATCAGCACGAGTCTGGCTTTACCTTACTCCGCACTGTCATATCACAATGTTTGTTTTAGCAAGTATGGATTCATGCTGTGTGTTTTCTGTATTTTTTTTTTAATTAGCATTTTGGAGATCTTTTTACGTCAGTCTTCTAAATTCACCTCACCGTATTTAACCATTACTTGGTATGGCTGTTCCAGAACTAACCTCTTCCCTGCCACTTCTGTCCTGACAAAGACACTAGGCACGTATCTGTGATTGAACAAGTTGGATTTATTACTTTTTGCAGCCAGGGAGAACATACACCATAGGGAAGTGTCTCAGTAACAGGATTTAGAGACAGGATACTATTATAGGGTTGGACTTTTGTTGGGTAGTTTTGAAGGGAGGATGTAAGAAAGTGAGGCTTTCAGATTGGATATTGTCAGGACCATGGTTAATCATGTGATGAGTATCTTAGTAAGTCAGTCTTATCTAGAAGGAGAGAAGACTAAACAGAAGCTTCAACTGTAATTAGTAATGAATCTGGATTGGGGTGGTGTTTGTATCTTTGCCAGTATTCATGTTTTATCTGTGTTCAGACGTCATCATGGAGCACTTCTGTTCCATCTGGCTCCATTATGGTCGTGCGGTGGACTTGTCTGGTGTTATGTTCTGTGAAACTGTTCAACAGCTGTTAGTGCCAGGCCAGCACCTGACTGATACTACCAGCCAGCTTTATAATGAAAGGGGATACGTTTTCCTACACTATTTATATAAACAGCTAGGTTGTTTCCCAGTTTTTACTAGAATGAGTTTTCATTTTCATTGCTAAAATGAACATTTTTGTTACATGGATCTTTGCATACATGTCGATGTACAGTGTTATATAGGATAAATTCCTATAAGCGGGATAATATCAAAGAGCATATTAAAGGATCATAAAATTTATTGTATAATCATCTCCAAAGGCCTATGCTTGTTTTTATTCCCATAAACAGGGCACTTTAGCCAACAAGAGACATTAGTAGTCTGTGATTTTTTTTTTCTTTCCGGCTAATTTAGGAATTGTATTTTAATACATGTATTTCTACTAGTGTGTGTGAGCTTTTTTTTTTT